AAAATTGTCGGCTACAGATCGGACAATCGTCGGACAATGTCGGCAAATCGTCGGACGGTGGCGGCACAGCGTCGGCAACCGACACGACCGATGATCTGCCGACACTGTCCGATGATTGTCCGATGATTTGCCGACACTGTCCGACGATTGTCCGATGATTTGCCGACACTGTCCGACGATTGTCCGATCTGTAACCGACGTTCTGCCGATGATTTTTGCTTCACTAATTCATCGCCCCGACACATCCATCAGCAGGCCTATCATACATCCTGTTCAACCCTTTTGGGACATTTTTATAAGTTGACATATTTGGACACCCTGTTCACCCCTTTTGGACCACTTCTATATGAGCAGTCGTGAGCATTGATTTTATGCATACTAACAACAGAATACCCTGTTCACCCTTTTGGGCCACTTTTTTTAGCACTGGTGGTTTGGATTGGTCGAGTCCACTTACAAAAGTTAGGGGGGGGGGGGGAGGCTAACTCACAATAATCTGATCGTGGTTGCTGTGACAAAACTGAATTTTTAAAATGTTTTTCTACGGAGGAGGTATTGGTTTCTTTTGTGTCGGGCGATGTGAATGTGTGAAGCCAAGCCACGGGACATCAGCTGTGACGACAGCTAGAACTGCTGCACCAAAGATGACGGTTCTGTGCTGTCCATTTAGCAGATAGTTGGAGGGTGCCATTAGCAGTCCTTTATTTCTTCTTTCTCTCAGTCTAGTCCAGCATGCTATGTAGGAATGTAGGCCTACATGGTTTCAATAAAAAGTAAAGTCAAAGTTGTTCCCGCATCCGATCCGGACGTTGGGGATTGCCTTGTTAGTGAGACAAGTAATTCATGGGGCCTTCGGCATATTGTGGTAGGGTGGCCAGTTCCTTTCCACGCCGCCTTTACTTCCCCAACTCGAAGTCAGGTACCCATTACTGCTGGGTGGGCAGGAGTGCCCCCCCCCCCAAAAAAAAAACCAAAAAAAAAAAAAAATCCGTGTCCCAAACGAGGCTCGAACCCGGACTTTCACATTTTTGGGCTCAGTTTGCATAATTTCATTTTTTTTTTTTTTAGCATAAAACAACGGGGACAGCCCTGTACAAATAACCAGTTCCCACTTCCTTCTTTGGGTTGTTACGTGTTGTTACGACGCAGTGGAATCAGGCGCGCTTTTCAGTTTTTGGACATGATGTGGAGTTCTTGGCATCATCTCAAATGATTTATCTTGCTTTCGATGAATACAAGTCTAAATATTTGCTATTGTAGGGGGTGGGGGTCGTCTGATGTCAGAGGTAAGATTTGCGAGAAAATGGCTGCCAAAGCTGGGTGACTTTCAAAGCTTGGGAGTTCTTGGAAACTGCAAATTTACTTTTTTTTTGTGCCTTTGATCAACGTTTTTCAGTACATGTATTGTTTATTGTTTATTGTTTCAGGAAGCAACATCCCTGCACTCCGGACATGTCCATTGATGCTCCGTTGCTCTCTCCAAAATGTTGCCAAGGGTTCTTCTACAAGTAAAATCCACACAGAAAATTGTTTTCAAGTACAATATAAATGTAGATAGAGAAAAGGTCTTGTGCTGTAAAGAAAAAAATTCCCCAACAACCCAAAAATTGCCTGTTTCTTTGACTTTCCTCATTTTGACGAGCGCCTGATTTCACTCAGACGATGCATCAAATATGATCAAGATTAGAACGCCACTGTCCATGACCTCCACCTGTCTAAAACAAACACATAATTTCTTCTGTCCTTCAATTAGTTCCCCGAGACTTTCGCTCAATTCACGGAGTGAGGGGAAAAAAGACTTTTGTCCCGTGCCACAAGTCTGTGTACCGTATATTCTATTTCATGTCCAGTACCTCCATCAAATCCCCCTTCCTTAATCTCCAGTAAGGAGCATGTTGCTGTAAAGGCTAAATTGATAAAAGTCAAAAGTGCAATCAATTGTCAGAAAAGTCAACGATGCAGTGAAAAAAAGAATAACCTAACTTGAAAATGTGACCATTTCATCCATATTTTTATTTACAAGAGTTCGAACTGATTAATAAATATTTTCAGATACCTGTGTTGTAAATATGTATGATGTATTTTATATCAAGTCCAAAAGAACAAAAAAAGACAACAACAAAAACCAAACCACCCTTCAATTTTTTTTTCAACACTGGTTATATTGCAGAATACTTATAGGTTATATTGCAGAATACTTATAGGTTATATTGCAGAATACTTATAGGTTATATTGCAGAATAGTCATAGTATTAGTATAGTACACCTAAAGTTGTAACAACAGGTGACGTATTTCAACATTCACAGAAATCATTGTGTAATTGTCCATGTTTCCCCACCCCCACCCCTGCAGGTTAGATCAATCAGGAGGTCGGGCGCTTCCACCTATCAGGGCCAGTCTAGGCTTAGAGGGATACAATATCCCAACAGAGAGATCTCAGAGGGATACAATATCCCAGCAGAGAGATCTCAGGGCCAGTATAGGCCTAGAGGGATATAATATCTCAACAGAGAGATCTCAGAGGGATACAATATCCCAGCAAACGAGACACTGAGATACTCGCTAAAAAAACAAAACAAAACCCTCCCGACATAAGAATTGAACCGACGTCTCGTGAGCGCAAGGATGAAGCATCCCAACCTCTACTCTGAGGACGCTCATTTCAATTACACTCAATTTCAAATGTAGCACTTTGGTGATTACAAAATACCAACAACAAATTCATCCCAAGTTAAACTTTAATAACATTTTCAAGGTTATAAACTGAGAAAACAATTTAGAGCAAAGAGTACATTACGTAAAACAGTTTCTATTTAGAATCTATTGTTTCGATGAACAACCGACATCTCCCCTCTCAGCATCAGCAGTACGTTGTACGTCAAACATACAACATCTCCCCTCTCAGAATCAGCAGTACGTTGTACGTCAAACATACAACATCTCCCCTCTCAGAATCAGCAGTACGTTGTACGTCAAACATACAACATCTCCCCTCTCAGAATCAGCAGTACGTTGTACGTCAAACATACAACATCTCCCCTCTCAGAATCAGCAGTACGTTGTACGTCAAACATACAACATCTCCCCTCTCAGAATCAGCAGTACGTTGTACGTCAAACATACAACATCTCCCCTCTCAGAATCAGCAGTACGTTGTACGTCAAACATACAACATCTCCCCTCTCAGAATCAGCAGTACGTTGTACGTCAAACATACAACATCTCCCCTCTCAGAATCAGCAGTACGTTGTACGTCAAACATACAACATCTCCCCTCTCAGAATCAGCAGTACGTATATCGTGCAACAAGATAAACAACCCTCAGGCAAGCTATGGCACCGATACGAAAGAAAGAAATCTATTTCCACCACAGGCGATCAACATTTCCAACAAAGCAACGAACAAACAAACTGACAGCTCAGTGTCAGACTCCGCCAAACGCTATTTCTCTAAATGGCCGATTCTTACACTTAGCAGTCGATATACATATATATATAATCTCTATATATATATGAGGCTGTAAGGGTTAAACTAATATATCAGATATCAGCCTAAAACACTGTCATGTACTCACAAAATCTAACCAGTTATTTTGAGAGTGATACAAAATAATATTTTCAACATAGTGTGTGTGTTTTGTATGAGTGTGTGAGTGTGTTTTGTACGAGTGTGTGTGTGTGTGTGTGTGTGTGAGTGAGAGAGTGTGTGGGTGTGTGTGTGAGTGAGAGAGTGTGTGGGTGTGTGTGTGAGTGAGAGAGTGTGTGTGGTGTATGTGTGGTGTGTGTGTGAGTGTGTGTGTGAGAGAGAGTGTGTGTGTGTGTGTGTGTGTGTGTGTGTGTGTGTGTGTGTGTGTGTGTGTGTGTGTGTGTGAGTGTGTGTGTGAGAGGGAGGGAGGGGGGGGGGGGAGAATCATTTGGTACTGATTGAAACATTCTGAATTTTGTCACAAAGTTTAATCTTTGCACTTCTAAGTGGTCAAACATTAATCAAATTGTAAAAAAAAATAAAAATTCTGAAACACATGGTGTAAATCATTCATCAAAGCCAGTTCAAAATACCGATTTCAGGCAGTGTAAATTCATGATATAAATCAAAATAAAAATTACTTTAACACAACAATATAATAATAATAATATAAGACACTGCTTCACATTTTTTTTAAAACCTTGCGAATATTTCAAACCTGGTAGGCCTACTTATAAAAAATCAATAGACGGCATTTATATAGCGCTCTATCCCATACAAGAATAAGCTCTGAGCGCAGATAACAGATGAATGATGCTATTAATATTATGTTTAATAATACTGGATGTCGGGTTTATAATTGTCATAACCGCAGGAAAAAAACTCTGGCACTGTTCAAGGCAATATGACGACCGAAATCCATACTCGACTGAAAGAAACCAGTTCCTTAATGAAAGCCACAAAAAACCCACCATACCGTACCCAGATTAGTTTTTGTAAGAGTTTTACGTCACTTCCAACACAATAAGGTCATATACGTACCAAAGATTAGAGGTGTTACTAGAAAGTAACAAACAAAGGAAAGAAGGAGCAACCACACCTAAGCACCCGCCAACCACCCACTGCCATGTAGTGAAAGACTATTCATATATCTAAATAATTGATCAATGTACTTGTAAGCCCACATTCAACACTGTTCTCTTACTAGTCATTCAGCCTTCTAAAGCCATGATTTAAACAATGTAATTAGCAGACTATTATGCAGTGGAGTCTGCATGAAATCTGCGGGACAATATGATTTTCTTCAATTTAGTCACGTTTTCCGTTAGAGGTTATTCAATTAGAAAAAAAAATAAAATCCGAGACTATATTTTCATTGAGTTTACCACTGTTTTCAAAATAACAGCCGTACACTGACCAAGTCAAGATGCTTTTAGTTTTACGTGTAAATTCTGAACTAGGCCCCTCAAGTGTTGACTATGGGTGGTTGGAGGGTGCTGCTGGTAGCTCCTATTCCTTCATGATCTCTTTTTGCGTTTCTGTTTGTCCATCCGTCTGTCCAGCAGTTTTCTCTCCACCCTCCTTAATTAACTTCCAAGAATTGAGCAAAAAACGTTCCCTTGGACATTTCCAAATTGACTAGCTATATATTAAATAATACATGATATATATACGTAAATGTGAGCATGCTGACAAAACGAGTTACTTCTCGCAATCTAAGAATGGAATTATCAGCCCATAATCGACACTAAGGTCAAATTTGTACATTTTCTATTGATGCCATATTCTTCAAGTCTACCCTGTCTTTTATTATTCCACACTTACAAATTGTACAATCCCCACCTATAAAGTCGATGTATCAATTTCCATTATAAGGCTAAAATCCAAGAAGCAGCCTATTTTGTCAGCACACCACACATATATCATTTGTACAGCGCATATCCCCACTCAACGGCTAGCTCTATGCGCGTTACAATCTATACTTTATCAGCAAGCTGTGGAAATGTACTGGGCCCACAAAGCAAAATTTTACAGGAGAGAGAAAACTATTTCATTCTTTTTAAAATTACTCTAATAATTTATTTATTTAGAGATTTGTTATATTTTTTTTGTAAATTAAAATTAAAATGTTGAAAAAATATTTCTTGGGCAAATGCAACCAATACCATAGATTAAGAAACTGCAATAATAATAATGAATAATAACAATCATAATCATAATCAAAGGTTGCATTTCTATGGCATTTGATCCAATTTTTTAAAAATAAAAATTGTTTGGGCTTCATACATTTCAACAGATGGCCGACTACCCCAGCAGACCCTAGAACACTCCGAAACATTCTTGGCTCCCCGGGGAAGCACACACCAGCCTAGTGATGGAGAGATGGAGAGACAGAGAGACAGAGACAGAGATAATGAGTCAGGGATCGGCCACGACCCGCCCATCACTTGGTCCACTCCGGTTTCCTCTTCTGGATGAAGGCTGTGATTCCTTCCTTCCCGTCCTCAAGGCCAAGGTTCTCCACCATGATTTTCTCCGCAAACCTGACCACCACACAAAAACAAAATTAATTGCTTTTTTAAATTCGTTTAAAGAAAGGAATGTTTGCTGTTGTGGATGCTTTGTTCAAAAAGTGTAGCAGAAAGAAAAATTTTTAGCAAGAGTTTTACTGCACTTGCAATACAAACAGGTCATATAAGTGCCGAAGATTAGAGGCATTACTGGAGAGTAACAAGGAAAAGTCAAACACTTCAGGTATCGACAAATGTGTTTGACACATCCATAATTTAGATTAAACGATAATGAAAGGAAGTTACTACGAGTAAAAGGAACTATCTAGTATCTGTGATTTCAAATTTTCCGTGTTTGTGTTATCTGTGACCAACTGTATTAGTTTGTATTGTTATAAAAGTGGGGCTGAGTAATAAGGTTCTATTTTTTAAAGTTTACTGGGGGGGGGGTGTAATGTGTTAATGTTGTTTTTATGCCCCAAAATACACAAATCGGATAATTTACGAAGCGAGCTTTTGACACTGCCTGTCTTTGTCAAAACGGGCTGAGAGGGACACAACATTACGGGAGAAAAACCAACATACTCGATAAAAATTATCTCCACTTGGAAAGTCGAACTTGGGTCACCTGCTTGTGATGCAAAGAACCTAACCACTATAGCACAGACACCGGTTTAAAAGTCTCTATAAAGTTTCTTTTATTAAGAAACCTCATTACTCAGCCACAGTATCAAGAATTTTAAAATTACGTTTCAGACAGAGTGAAGCAGTCATTAATTGTATAAAGCTTTTCAAGGAAAAGTTGATTTTCTTTTTTCATGAGAAGATCTGAAGTATAGGTTCAGAATTCATACTGGGTACAATATTCATTCACATGGACGGAGGAAGATATTTTTAAAAAGTAATAGCTAATTCAATTCACTTTACTTACCTGTACGCATTTTTCTTTTCCAAAGCCATTTGAGCATAGAAGGAAGCTTTTCCGAGTGCGATCACACGCTGGCTAGTGTCACAGACTCGCTCGGCAATTTTCATGGTCTGCAGAAATAACAAAATTTACATCATTTGTATTCAATCAACATCATAGCCTTTATCTAACAGACACAAGTACATTTAAAATTGTCCAAGAGGGCCGGCCATGGTCAAAGAGAAGGTGTTTGTCTTAGACAGTGTCGTTAGAATTTTTTAACCCTATCTTACATCGTGTTTTACTATCGTATCCATACGACGTGGGGAACTCTGTGCCATCACTTTCCAAACAGGAAATTTGCTCATTAATCCGATCCGTACGCTTTGCATAGCAGTCTGTCACAATGATCTTTTGAGAAATATTGAAAGTTTCAAAGAGATCTTCGTACTAGAAGTATTCTAAAATGTGAAGAATAAAACCCTGGGGGTACAAAATGACTCCAGGGCGTACGGATAGGGTTAAAAATACATTTGAACCTGCTCTTATGGACGCCTGTATAAAAGACAATCACCTGCACAAATGTACAAATGGTCACTTCCTGTTTCCCTTCTCCCATTTTTTCCCCACATTTTAATGGCACTCTGTAGAAAACCATAGAAAATACAGCATGCCCGAAGATTCAGTTTCAGATGACTTTACTGTGCTTCTCGCAAAATTTGATTTTTAAAAAATTCTTGGTTAGTCTTTTATCAGTTCCAAACTTTGGGAGATTTCCCAAGTGTCTAGAGCCTCAGATAGGCTCTTTGTCTTACCTGCTAATTGACCTAGATCATGCCGAGAAAGGTGTAAAAGATCTGGTCGCTTTTAAGCACAAGGGGGCTATCCCGAAAAATGCTGTTACTATCCCGAAAAATGCTGTTATGAGAAAATCGAAGATTAAGTTTTTGCCCCCTGTTCAGTTTCTTTAAAAGACAAGGAGAGTTTTCTCTATAACCAAACAAATATACACACCAAGGAAACCAAACTTCTCCTATAGGTAGATCAATGCCCATTTTAGGTGCAGGTCAAGATTTCTGGAAACCCCCAAAATCTGGGTTAGCCCGCTTGTCCTTAACAGCGACCATTTATAGTTTACCGTCACCAGGGACATTATCTTACCTCTTCCTCCACCTGATCATCGGGGACAACTTTGCTGACCAAGCCGTGCAGTAACGCGTCTGGTGAAGAAAATGGAAAGAAAAGAAGATCATTTTGTAGCAGAAATAATAATAACGTAATGCAAGAAAATATTACAGATTTACATTTTGCAAGTGTACACAGGTTTTAGCAGCTCTAGTGATTGAATCATTTTATCTCACTGCATAATGCAGACAAAGCCACTCCATTCTGACTTATGCTCATACTTTGAGGTACTGCTTAAAATGATGACCCATCTATATATTTTTTAAAAATAATTATAATTTGACAGGTCAAAACACTTATGCAAGTAATCTGAACTTTTCTCAGTGTCATGGTGTCTCCAATGTATGCAAGTAATCTCAACTTTTCACAATGGTCTCAAATGTATGCAAGTAATCTCAACTTTTCTCGTTACATGGTCTCCAATGTATGCAAGTAATCTCAACTTTTCTCGTTACATGGTCTCCAATGTATGCAAATGATCTCAACCTTTCTCAGTGTCATGGTCTCCAATGTATGCAAGTAATCTAAACTTTTCTCGTTACATGGTCTCCAATGTATGCAAATGATCTCAACCTTTCTCAGTGTCATGGTCTCCAATGTATGCAAATAATCTCAACCTTTCTCAGTGTCATGGTCTCCAATGTATGCAAGTAATCTAAACTTTTCTCGTTACATGGTCTCCAATGTATGCAAATGATCTCAACCTTTCTCAGTGTCATGGTCTCCAATGTATGCAAGTAATCTCAACATTTCTCGTTACATAGTCTCCAATGTATGCAAGTAATCTCAACTTTTCACAATGGTCTCCAATGTATGCAAGTAATCTCAACATTTCACAATGGTCTCCAATGTATGCTAGTAATCTCAACTTTTCTCAGTCACATGGTCATGATCTCTGGTACATGCAAGTAATCCAAACCTTGTGCAGAGATAGGGTGTCCAGTGAACAACATATCCAGAGCCACTTTCCTCGGTACCGCTCGGCCCACGGCTACCCCTGGACTGGTGCAAAACAAACCGACATTGACGCTGTGGACAAAAAAAAAACAACAAGTATAAGAATAATAAGAGTAGAATTAATAGTAATAATAATAATAATAATAATAATAATAATAATATAACAACGATCATTTTATGCAAGGGAAAAGAAAGACAGACAGACAGAAACAACTGAGGGAAAGAAATGGAGAAGAACCTGCCAGTAGCGTCCTCCAACCACCCACTTACCCTGGAGTAGCAAACTGAGAATTCTCCGAGACAACAGCGATGTCGCACGTGGCTACCAGCTGACACCCTGCAGCAGTGGCCAACCCTGTTGAGGAAGGACATTTTGGGTTTTAAACGGAGGTGTTTTTACTCCACTCCTCCATCTACACAGTTTAGATCATTAGGAAGCGGGCTTCCCACCCTGCCTGTCAGGGCCAACCCCTGATGAGAGATAAGATAAGATACATCTTTATTGTTCAGATCCTGGCACATTGGTTTGGTATTTCATCACACACACACACACAAACACACACACACACACACACACACACACACACGCACACAGACACACAACATCCCAGCACAAAGACCGAGACACTCGATAGAAATTTCTCCCCACTCCAGAATCGAGCTCGGGTCTCCTGAGTGCAACAGTGAAGCCCCTAACCGCAACACCACAAACACTGGTACTCTAACTAAGGGAAGGCTGCAACCACAAATGTAGACAAGAGACATTTCACTACAAAACTATCAACTGTTAAGATCCAGGTAAAATTGCTATCCGATTTTAAAAGTAAAAACTTTCAATAATAATAACAATAATAATCCATCAGTCTCGAAATTGTCAAAGGAGAAAAGTGACAATCTTAGACAGGGGTCTGTCAAACAGAGAGTCATTATAATGTTTAAAAAAAACATGGGGGAGGGGGAGATGAAAAGTGGCCATTTGTTCAGGCGACTGTCTGTATTTCTGTTTCAGAAAGTGTTTTACGGCATTTGCAACACAAAAAGGTCATATAAGCGCCGAAGATTAGAGATGTTGCAAAAAGAGTAACAAACACAAAAAAAGGAGGAGAGATCAGGACCATAGATGTTTGATAGGAAGGAAGGAGCAAACCACACCAGAGCACCCGCCAACCACCCACAAGGAGGAGAGATCAGGACCATAGATGTTTGATAGGAAGGAAGGAGCAAACCACACCAGAGCACCCGCCAACCACCCACAAGGAGGAGAGATCAGGACCATAGATGTTTGATAGGAAGGAAGGAGCAAACCACACCAGAGCACCCGCCAACCACCCACAAGGAGGAGAGATCAGGACCATAGATGTTTGATAGGAAGGAAGGAGCAAACCACACCAGAGCACCCGCCAACCACCCACAAGGAGGAGAGATCAGGACCATAGATGTTTGATAGGAAGGAAGGAGCAAACCACACCAGAGCACCCGCCAACCACCCACAAGGAGGAGAGATCAGGACCATAGATGTTTGATAGGAAGGAAGGAGCAAACCACACCAGAGCACCCGCCAACCACCCACAAGGAGGAGAGATCAGGACCATAGATGTTTGATAGGAAGGAAGGAGCAAACCACACCAGAGCACCCGCCAACCACCTACAAGGAGGAGAGATCAGGACCATAGATGTTTGATAGGAAAGAAGAAGCAAACCACACCAGAGCACCCGCCAACAAGTACAAGAGCAAACAATCACTTCTTTAAATTAAAAACTCCACTTAAAATTTTTTTAACAGTTAATAAAATATAAAAACTAACACAAGGTCAAACTCACAACTTGAAATTCACATCCCATCTCCATAAAATCAATACCGACAGAATAACATAAGTGCTGTGAAATTGGAAATATGATAGCCATGAGAGCCATGAGTATGAGTCAGGAATTTATGTTAATTTCAACCTGCTGAGGACACGATTAACCACGCAAAGTACATAAAGCTGTGCGCTTGTTTTTGTTTTAGTGAGTATTTTATGGCACTTGCAACACAATTAGGTCATATAAGTGCTGAAGATTAGAGGTGTTACAAGAGAGTAACCAAAATAAAAAAGGAGAAGAGTTAAGGACGATAGATGTTCGATAGGAAAGAAGGAGCAAACCACACCAGAGCACCAGCCAACCACTCACAAAGCTGTGTGCTGTGTTTAAAAAAAGCGTAAGTGTATGGGTATAACGCCCTTATCAACACAAATAGGTTATTTAAGAGGCAGGACCTCCGAATTTAACCTCCGTCTCCAACAGTACTGGGCCAAATGGGTTGAAAGCTTTAACACTTTGTGGTGACTTAGCGCAATAATACCCTGGTGAAAATCATCCGTTCCAGTCACCTGGTGTACGAGAAGTCCGTTGCAGTCACTCTCCTGGCTGGATGACCAGAAGGGGTATTTTGTACTGCTGGCTGTGTGACTGCAAAGTGTTAAAAACTCTACAAAATGACCCAAGTTCAAGAACACCCAGTCTTGGGTTCGAACCAGGGCCATCCGCTCCATTGTGGAACATGATACCGACTGAGCTAACGGAACGTCTTGTGTACACTGAGCCACAAAAATAAGTAACTATCAAGCATTTCATTTCATTTTCGTTTCTCTTCATTTGAAAGAAAATTAAATGCAAGTGAAAATGATTCACCACTAGAACTTACCGTGAACTTGAGCGATGACAGGAACAGGCAGATCCTGAAATAAAAATCAAACTTTTCAACATGATACACATGATTCAGTTATGATTGTGTAATAAAGGTTTAAACACTTTGCCGTCACATCTCGCTGATCGGGGATGTTTACAACCCAGTTTCTATAGATTTTCCCCAAAATGCCTTCGCCTTTGATGGCAAGAGTTTTTACTATATGACCTTTGTGATGACAAAGTGTAAAGCAGTCATCGACACAAAGCAGACCATTTAGGAAGCCAGAGACTTTGGCACTTCCTGTTAAGGCCAGCCCAGAGCAAGAAGAATACAGACTGACATACTAAAAAAACAAAGACTTCTCAACATGCACACATATTTTGCCTGCAGCAAGGAAGTGCCTAACCACTACACCACAACATCTGAAGCTCAAGCTAGTACATCTCACTTCATACCAAACCAGTCTATAACATCAGAAAGCCTAGTTTGACTCCTTCATAACTGACTGTACTGTACTACTTTATAATAATAATAATAATAATAATAATAATAATAATAATAATAAAAATAATAATAATGATAATGATGACGATGATGATGATGATGATGATGATAAATATGATAGTTTGTCCGTCAATATCTGTCTATAACCAATGCATCTGCGGAGGGGAATATATTCCTTCAGCACAATAGAAGAAAAAGAAATACGGCTTAATTAACCATTAAAGAGGCCTTGTGGCTTCTGCCATGGCCAATGAGACAAATCCTTGCAGAGAAGTGTTAGCCGTGTTAGCCACATTTGGATGACTGCATCATGCTGGGAAATAAAACGATCAAATCACTAGAGCTATAAAACCAACCAACTCTTCATTAGTTTTATCAATAGTTGTTGAAAAAATAGATAATGGGTAACAAGTTCAAATGAAACTGGAGACGAGTCCAAAACAGAAATACCTCTTAGGTTATTTATATGCCGAAAATTTAGAAAAAGAGGAGGCGAGATAAAAGACGATAGTTGTTTGATAGGAAAGAAGGAGAAAAACCACACCAGAGCACCCGTCAATCACCCACTCAGAGCAGTGCGATTCAGACTCCCTACAAGATATATAAAGTATGCAGCACCAAAGTAGCTTACCTGAATAACATTCATGACATTGGAACACGTGGAAAATACTTCTTCATGGAACTCCTTGTTCTCTGTGCCTCTCTGTGGACCATATATATGTATATATATATCAGACAAGACAACTTTTTACCAGAAAATTCAACACTCACGACTTGATGCTACATCTGCACCATCATCATAGCAAAGGTCTACTTAAATTATTGTTCTCCTGTAGAGTAGCACACAGTGTCAAATCTCACATTCACAGTCAGCATTTCACAATGAAACGGGTAACTAAACTTCCATCTCGACAGAACTGAAACTGATATGTATACACCATGTTTACATTACACACACTTGACCTTGAAAATTTCAAACAGAAAAAGATTATAAGATAGCATTGGGTCTTTTTTTCAGATTTACAATCTTCCCTGAATATAACCTTACGGCCGATGAATCGGGAAAGTAAAGTAAAGTGAGATTTTAAAACATGAACCCAATTCCAATTTTCAAATCCAAAAGCCACATAACATACAGATTCGTGGAAATGCTAATAATGCTATCACTAAATATCTACACCACATAGCAACACCCCCCCCACCCCCCCAATTCATGAAAAAGTCCAGATAAACAAAATCACAACAACATATTAAACAGCAAGAGAAAATGCAGTTCGTAAAAAGTCACTTTCAGTGAAGGCAATTAAACTGAGTTCTGTGGAATCCTCTGATTTTATTCGCTTTACCCGTAACCCATATTTTGCGTCTAGAGGCATTGCTCAAATTACAATAGGAAAAAAAATTGGGGAATCCATTTACTTTCAGAAGGCTACACCACAGTTTTTCAATTTTAGCCATAATTCTATTTAAGCAGACTTCATAGTAGTTCAGTGCGTCGTTGGGTAGGTGACCTCACCAGCTCTTTCAAGTCATGGCCGGCACTGAACACGGGGCCTTTGGCCTTGAGGATGATCACCCGGAGCTCCTCCTGGTCTCTGGTCAGCTCATTGTACAAGGTCTTCAACATTGCCAAGGACAGTGCATTTCTGAGTGGGAGTAAAGAGACGCACATCAACGCAACATGATAATAATAATAATAATACAATAATGAAAAATAATATAATAATAATATTAATATTAATGATAATAATAAATATGACAATAATGATGATGATAATGATTGTGATAATGATAATAATAATGATAATAATAATAATAAATTGCATTTACATTGCAATTATTTTCATCTCGACAAGATGCTCAACGTGCATCCAAAAAATAGGAAGGTTGACACAAGTAGTGAAGAAGCGTACATGTACATGTGTGTAAAGAGAAAAACTGACACATTTACCATTATTGCCATTTAAAGTGCTAATTATTTGTCCACTGTGCACGGAAATCATGCTGGTTAAGACAGCCAACTAGACGAGGCAAGTCTGGAAACAGTTTGTCTCTACTCTAATCTCTACACCAGTCTACCACTAGTCAAGATTTCAGTCCGGGCTATCAGTCAAGCCCGTTGCACTACGATTTCAACCTCTTCCATGGTAAGCAGTTACAGGATATTAAACAGTGTTTAAGTTCCTTATATATATATATGCCAGTGAAATGAGGAATGTCGAAAAAAAAGACAGACGGACAAGAGTGAGAACCCACCTTTTCCTGGGGTCGTTGAGGCAGATGGTACGGATGCCATTTTCCTGAGTTGTCAAGGTCAGCGGTTGCACAGCAGTTTGTGTGTGAGCCCATCTCCGGCTGACACCAACAACACAGGTGGGCACACCCTGGGAAATAATCACAGACATGACATGATCAGTTTCCAAATCTATTCTTTTGAAGACATTGAAGTTGATATTCCAGTACTTAGGGTAGAGCCTCATGCAACTTTGAAATCACGAGTAGGCTTTTAAAGTTTTAAAATTTTCTTTAAAACAAAACGTTGATATTGTGACTGTTTCATTGCCAATATGCCATATATATCTATTTATCATTAATACTATAGATCTATAGATAGATCTAGGATCTAGATCTAGATCTAAGCCTAGGCTAGCCACAATAAATAATATATATCTAGATCTAGATCTAGATCTAATATCTGCGACAAAAAATACAGCAGTTTTTTAGCCTCTGAAAGCAGTGAATCTGCAGGCCGCAGTGAAGAAGGTAGATCTAGTAAAGTAAACAGAGCAAATCTTGAAGATATCTAGATTTCTAGATCTAAAATCTAGTTCCAGGCATTCTTGGCCTATTTACTGGCCACAGTACTGGCACTGCCACAAAAATAACAACACAGACTTCACAAGGACTTACGCATTGTTGCAACGAAACCCTGCATAGAGTTCTTGCTGCGACAGCACCCAGTAGCTTCACGTTATTCATTTTGATTATTTGCACTTCACTGTCACTGTGACAGTCTGTGTTCTGAACATATGAGGAGCGAAAGATTTGTGCTGAATCACAGGTTCACTGTTTGACCCACAAACCTAATCAAAAGTTCACAGTTCACAGTTCACGGCCGTCTGACTGCTTGCGTTGATGTTTCTTTATTTTAAGCCTAATTTATTTAGTTCTCTGTGAAAGTCGAGTCGAGGAGTCTGCGGAGTGTGCAGTGCAGAAAGAGAGAGGAAAACAAACAGTTGCGATTATCTATTGCCTGATTACTTAAACGATTACATTACCTCTAAAATTCTAAACGATTACATTTCTTCCTCTAATATTCTAAAGAATAGGCTGGCACCTCATCAAGACGTATATTTTGAGATTTCTGGAAACTTTCAATTTAAATTCATTTATTCAGTTCAATTGTGTCGTATGACTGGAATAACAAGTAGATCTATGCATACTAGAACGAAATAACCTGGAATTCTAGAATCATTAGGGCCCACAGAATTCTACACTAAGTGTAGAATTCTGTGTTAGGGCCTAACTCTTTTTTATTCTGGAAGCAGGAAAATTGCACAATTTTTATTTGGAGCAAGAGACAAGTATTTTTAATATCGATACTAGATCTAGTAGCATCAAAGATAGTACAAGACAAGATGGGCCACTTCTCTCTTTGAGCCAATTAAAAAAGTGTCCTCAAAATTTGGTGGCGCCCTCTTCACAAAAGCGCACTCTTTGCGAACAGAGTTACCCTACTTGAGTTTTTAAAAATCAAAGTGAAACTAGCAAGTTTTGGGATAAATTTCGGAAGAACGCTTTTTAAAAATGATTACGCTGACAAAAAACGTCTTCCGGAGGAAAAGGAGATGGTTTTCTTCGTTTAATTTGACTTTAGAATGAAGGGCGAGAGGTCATTAAAATTTTTAAAAACCCAAAACTCCGCACTGAACATACCCGAACTGCTGATGAACAGCAGTCACAGAATTCTACACTTAGTGTAGAATTCTGTGACAGCAGTCGATCTGCGCACGCATCGAGGTGCTATTCCTATTCTTCTTCTGGAAAAACGAAAGAGAGCTTCAAAACAGACTGCAGCGCCATCTGAAGCAAAGAGCAACACAAAGAGCATACTTCCTGCGGACACTTTTTAGGCTGAGTGGCCCATCTTGTCTTGTACTATCTTTGGTAGCATCAAAGATAGTACAAGAATTCCGTTCTCACCTCAAAGGTGAAGGGGTCAAAGATCAAGAATTGTTATTATTACTTTTATTATAGGGAGTGTATACAGACCCGGTTGCCTAACCGGGAACAAAGTCACAAAATATACAGATCCGGTAGGGGAACTCTTTTGTGATTTCGGAAAGTTTCAGCGCCCTCTTGGCTCAGTGTAGACCTAGGTTCTTCTGGTAGATCTATGGCCTAGGCTAGGTCTAGATCTAGATCTAGACAGACAGACAGACATAAATCCTTGGTCTAGTTTCGAGGCTAGCCTAGATCTAGATCTAGATCTAAATGAAGATTGCGGATGTCTTTTCGATGAACGATCGTTTTTCCTCCGTTTTGGAGTTGGAGGAATTACAATTTGAAGAAAAGAACAATGTCATAATTTCTCTCGAGCAGTCATCCTCTCTATTTCTCTCTCGCTCTGTTGCTCGCATTCTCTTTTTCTTTGTTTGTCTCTTTCTTTCTCCCCACCTATTTCCCACTAGACGTCTATATATATCTCTCGTTCCCTCCTGCCAACTGGGGCATGTCATACATTTTGCTAGCACTTCCCCCTGCTCTCTCTCTCTCACACACACACACACACACACACACACACACGCGCGCGCGCGCGCGCGCACACACACTACCGGGTCTGGGCGCTGAAACTTTCCGAAATCACAAAAGAGTTCCCTTACCGGGTCTGTATACTTCGTGACTTTGTTCCCGGTTACCGGGTCTGTATACACTTCGTTTATTATAACACCCATTCCAATTGTGATCACAAAATTTTAAGAATTGTCGGTTCTGAAACAAAAGTCGGCAATCGTGGATCGTAATCCATTTCTTTGCTGGGGTGCTCATGAATTTAAGAAATACCCAAAAAATCTGTTATCTCTGTATACAGACTCTTGTTAGTTTTTTGGGGGAGATTTTGAAGTTTTTTGGGGGAGTGCTTATTTAGGCCACATATGGCCTAAATAAGGTAAGGGAGGGGGGTTTAGCTTATTTAGGCCACACATGCTCAAACTACCCTTTTCAGGCAACTGAGTTCATTCCACTTTCATAATGGTGCACCTTTCTCATTTAATATGGTTTTGCCTCAGTGTACAACTTATAAATCATAACCATAATGAATATTGTAAAGAACAAAGCACAATATGCAAAATTTTGCTCAATTCCAATGGTTTGAATGAGGGCCGGATTTTTCCTTCATGGAGGGGCAAAAGCTAGGCTACCATTTTGGCACACTTTGGTCAAGTGAAAAGGTCAAATCCTCCGAATGGACTTCCGGGTTAAATTTGGGGTATAAAAAGTGTGTATACTACGTGGCTGAGTCAAAGTTACACTATCTTTGCCTGAGTGACACTCTCTCGTACTGTCTCGTAGTAGTACATGTAGGCTAGTAGGCCTAATAGTAGTAGTAGCAAAGATCGTGTAGAGAATATTTGGTAGTAGATTCTATCTAGTAGGCAGTTTAGTGAACGTGCTCGCGGCAGGGCGAATCGGCCTCGATAAGCCCCGTAGACTTTTGTGATCGGCCACGAAGCCTCGTGTTTTGATGGGTCTAGATCTAGATCTAGATAACTCAGTGCTATTCGCACTGCCACATCCGACAGGCCTAGATCTACATCTTTTTAAAAGGAAAAGAAAGACCATCAAAATAGTTGAATTCGCATGAAAATCGATTAGGTAGAACTAGAACTATTAAAACTTGCTTCTGAAAACAAGGCAATTTTTATACGAAGGCCATTTTTATAACTCGATGAAATAAAAACTACTGGCTGTGTACTGTGTTATTCTGTATAAAAATAAATTATGAAACTTCAGGACGTAGATCTATTATTATTTACCAGCATCTTTTGGCGCCTGAGCTGTAGAGGTTGAAGTTTTCACAACACTAATAGATCTAGTAATAGGGTTAGGTAATACGGCTTTCCGTTAAAAATGCATAGATCTACAAAAGCCGACCACCGAATCGACCGGGCGCCTCGGTCTCCCCTGCACTCTGATTCAATATTTTTTTTAAAATGCTAATCAATGAAAATTGCAAATTGATAATAATAGTATAGTCCTGTAGAGGATAGGTGGACTCCGGGGTCTGCATAGCGAAATACTAGGTTTTAGGATGTGGACACCGGAGTCACCGTAGTGAAATAAGGTTTGGTTTAAGTAAGGATTGGTACTAGGTTTTAGGACAGGTGGACCCTGGGGTCACTGCAGTGAAATAAGTAGGTTTCTTTAAAGATTGGTGGAACCCGGAGTCACCATAGTCATAGAGGATTAAGAAGGTTTAATTAAGGATTGGTGGAACCCCGGGACACCTTGATTAAACCTACTTATTTTACTACAGTGACCGCAGGATCCACCTATTCTAAAACCTAACTAGTGTTTCGTTAGGTAGACCCTGGGGTCCACCTTAAACCTACCTATTTCACTACGTTGACTCCAGGGTCCACCAATCCTTAAAATTAAACCTAGATCTACTGATTTCACTACATTGACCCCGTGGTCCTCCAATCCTTAATTAAACCTATATCTACCTATAATTTCACTACTTTGACCAGGGGCTCCGCCAGTCCTATTATAAAATAAACTTAGATCTACTTATTTCATTATGTTGACCCCGGGGTCCACCGATCCTTAGTTAAACCTAGATCTACTACTTATTTCACTACGCTGACTCCGGGGTTCACATCCTAAAACCTAACATTTTGTTAGGTAGACCCCGGGGTCCACCTATCCTTTTGGCTAGATAGACCCCGTAGTCCGCCTATCCACTTTCTTGATAATAACTGAAAACAATACATACCAGTTGTCATTTATTGTGAAGAAAAATGAGGGGGAAAAAATATGATTAGGTAGACTTTAATTTGTCCAAAAAATTGCAAGTGCAAGTGAAGATCATAAAATAATTTTGTTATTTTCTGGTCACCTTTCCAAGGACCTTAAATTGATTCTACATCACATGTCATGTACGATACGGCTGTGAAGGAAAATGGATGTGAAGAGTTTTAAAGAAATAATAATGTAACTTGTAAAGAAAACAATGCTTTACATTGGTTTGGTTATTTTGACTACATATGTGGCCTAAATAAGGTAAGGGAGGGGGGTTTAGCTTATTTAGGCCATATGTGGCCTAAATAAGGTCACTCTTTTTGTTTCTTCCTTCCATGAAATTTTGAAGTCTGACTAATTTCATGAAGTCACATTTCCTTTGCTTTTACTTCATCATTTTCCCCATCTTTGGCAATTATCACACATTCAAAGAGACGTGGCTGTTGAATACAGGAGACCGCAGTTCAATTCCAGCTGGGGAGAAATTTCCATTGAATGTATCAGCCAGTCTTTCTACTGCGAGATTATTGTTTCCCTCTCAGCGCGGGTTGGTCCTGACAGGCAAGGTCGGAAGCTAGATCGCCTCCTAAATTATCTTAATAATTATAATGTCGATTTTAGTTTTACTAAGAGTTTTACGGCACTTGCAACACAACAAGGTCATATGAGTGCCGACCATTAGAGGTGTTACAAGAGAGTAACTTTAAACATAAAAAAGGAGTCGATCAGGATGATAGGCAAGAAGGAGCAAACCACACCAGAGCACCCGCCAACCACCCACTTAATGTCGATGGGGGCGTAAAAAAACACGTTGACAAAGAGGTGGGTGGTGACAAGACCTACGGACGTGACTGAGTTATGAGTATATTAATATGGCACGATAGGCCATCGGAGCATCATGACTGTAGTTTTGTTTAACCATGGAACGTGTCGTGTTTTTCCTTTTGAGTTTCACTCTATAACTACGCTACACACAAATATTATTGTAGAGTATAACACACAGCACGTTCAAGTTAGACCCAAACTGTCTCAGCTCTGGTTAGACCTTGAGCATATGCCCAGTATAGTAACAAAGAACAGAGAATGAAGAATGGAGAATCCACACATTGAATGTCTTTCCCTGTTGTGTGTTCTTGCAAGCGCGCGAATGTGTGTGTGTGTGTGTGTGTGTGTGTGTGTGTGTGTGTGTGTGTGTGTGTG